TGGACTCCTTTGGGCTGCTCAGGAGGTGGAGAAGGGACTGCAGTGCTGAGCAGTTCAAAATCACCTAGGCAGGGACACAAAATACAAATAAATATTTATTTAATATTTAAGTATTCAGTGACAACCTTCAAATGTAGCAAGTGTGCATACACTGCCTTTACCTGTGTCTGTAGATCATCTCCAGTAACTATGTTTCCCACAGCTCGCAGTGCAGGAGAAACCACTTTATAATCAGTGTGCCTAGAACAAATCAGAGTTGTAATATTGTTATGTACAACTGCTAAGATATTGTTTCAGAACCCTGAAACTGATACAAACTGTGAAATCTTCATTTCTGCTCTTCACTTACTTGTGATTTTATAGAGTTATTTATATGAGTTCCCTGACTTTTCCTTTTAATGCATTTTTAAACTTGAATACTGTATGGGTATTTTCAGAATTGGTACACATGGGACATCCTGTGACTGTCAAAGTGAAAACAGCTCTTCTCAAACAATAAATATTTCAGTTGTGTAATGCTAAACAATTACAAGTGTGTATTATATATTTAAAGCCTTACATGAGTAACTCCACCAGCCTGCGACAGACCCCTGAGTCAATAACTGCCTGGATTTTGTCATTTGGGCCATCAGACAGGTAAGACAGTGCCCAGCATGCATCTGCCAGGATGTCTGTGTCATTAACAAACAGCAGCCAGGACAGCACACTGAGACATGGGGACACCTGGAGAATAAAAAAGGACAAAGAAATGTAGTGGGAGAGGGCAAGATTTTCCATTTAAGACATAACCAACTTCATAGGGAGACTATAGACCTGGTTAAAATGAGAATATGATACACTTGAGCAGTGTGAGAAGGGTGTTGTTGCCATAGTGATATGTTTATCTTGGTAATTTACCTTAGCAAAGTCTGGAGGTGGGTTCTTTCCTCTGCACAGGTTTGAGAGCGCCCACACTGCATTCCTCATCATCGTTAGGCGATTCTGTTTGGCCAACAACCTGCAGACGTACAAAATATGTCTTAAGAAGAACACATGATCAAAGTCACTCCTTATTTTTTGAGTGTAATAAGAAGATGTAGGAGGAAGAAGAAATTTCGAGTTAGTACTTACTGCACCAGAGAAGGCAGGATGTTGCAGTCTATGACAAAGTCTCTGCATTCTGTGCTATCTCCTGCTATGTTCCCCAAGGCCCAAACTGCCTGAGGGGACAACCAATAGTTCAGGTCAGTTTAAATCAACCAGGGAGGTTAACAAAGTAAATGTTATTATTTACATAAAAGTCATACTGGTGAAACATCGTATGAGAAGTTTGAGTGACTGTCTGTAGTTAGTGATGATCAGTTGGGCAGCATCCTCCTCACCTGTTCTTGTACGTCTTCAAAATCCGAGCAGAGCATCTCTATGAAAATGGGCACAGCTCCTGCCTGGATTACCACACGAGTCTGATGGGATGTTCCCGATGCAATGTTGGTCAAAACCCACGCAGCCTCAAACTAAAAAAAAAAAAAGAGTCAAAAATATATATTCATGATACATTTTAAATTTTGGGTTAAACCTAGTTTTCACCAGAACAAAACACAAGAGCATTGAAACTCATTATTAGTGCAGAAAGGGTTCATGACACACAAGAACCACAAGAAGTCCAATAAATCAAAGGCTCAAGGCTCCTTAGCTTAGTAAGCATCTGCAAACCTGCCCTACTGCTAAAGAAAAGTACCTGCAATGTGCAGTTTTCTCTCCTCTTCAGGAACTCTACAAAGCGCTCCACCACTCCTGGAGTGGCAATGACTTCATCAATGGGTGGGTTGGGCTCTGTTTAAAAGAGAAGGAAGGTGGAAAACTTATGAAAAAATGACATAGCAATATATTTTATCTTATTATCTATAGACACAAATAATTACTCAAGTATTAAAATTAAATTAAAAAAAGTGTCAATCAGTCTATCAAAAAAAGTCAAGCTCAAAGAGGAGAAAAGTATCCAGGAGGAATAATAAGTATTCTATAGTTCCCTTACCTTTAGAGAGGAGTTTCCTAAAGCGCTGAGTGCCTATTAGTTGCTGCTCAGGGGCGCTAGAGAATATCATTTGAGTCATATCCTCAGAGATCACCCCACCCTGTATAGCACAGAGAGAGATTTATTCATATCTGACAAGAAGATGGATAGCAGATTTGTTTTTATTAGTATCATAGACCAGATTGGTGAATGTAACTTTTCCCACCATGAGTGGGTCAATGTTGTTAGCCTGGGACTCCAGGTAGCCACTGTCGGCCATCCCATCTTCCTCAGGAAGGCCATCATCCTCCACTGTGGCAACATTCCTCCTCTTGAAAAGCTGTAATTGAATAAAATTAAAATAAAGGATTTTGGCCCAAGCATATTTCTTATTCTCTTTTACTTGTCAAAGTAGTCGAATACCTTTACAGCATTTGTACCTCCAGCACAGAGTATTAAAGGAGATCTACATATTGTCTCACCTGTTCATCCTTCTTCTGTTTGCGGAGCTGTAGGCCTTCCTCTTCCCTCCGTCTTCTCATCTCATCTGTGTTGAGGGACTTGTTCTTGTAGCTCTTGAGTCGAGCATTGTCCTTACCCTGACTCATTGTGTAGCCTTAGGAGATATAGAAACATCACAGTAAACAGACTGTGTTTGGATAAGGCTGGACATCTGTTTAGTCTCCCAACCTGGAGCAGACAACTGTATTAATGAGTAGCAAACTACTAATCAAGACCAACAACTGAATAACAATGCATTTTTTATATATATATATATATATATATATATATAAAAAATTTGGTCGCAGTATGTACAATTTTTCTCTGAGTAGGTCACTGTTCACCTATTTTCTGCGTGAAAATTATGATAAATAAATCAAGACTATTACTATGCAGGGTACCTAGGTCAGTATCAAAACTTGTCCTGCATTATAACAACCTTAATATGACGTCACTGCTGCTTTACTGTCACAGCTAAACAAATGGGGCATCTGAGGATACTAGCTAGCTGGTTAGCTTTCGTAATCTTGACAAGAACGAAGGAGTTTTATCTCTTGAAACTATGCTCTGCCAGCACCATCTACTTTCAAATAATCAAACCACCACCACAAAAAAAAACATTAGGTAAATTAAGCACAAGTCAACCAGGAAGACAAAACTAAATCAGCTAGAAAGCTAATGTCATAGTCCGCCGTTAGCATAGCCGAATTGGCTATCGTTAGCTCTGAATGTAACGATAAAGTCATCTAATACGACTGTCTACTGTATTCCAAATACTGCTACCGGCAATATTTCAATAATATTCTAATTAAAAAGAGTTAAAGTATATGAACTATTTACGTTAGAATAACATTTACTGACCTGTCAAATTGGGCTCTGTAATCCCCTTATTCGCTAGGCCAGCCGTCGCCGGTACGGTACAGCGCATGCGTGATATTTGACGCACCCCCCCTCCTCACACACACAACTTCCCCCGCACCCCGCCCCACCCACGCGACGCTTCTGCGTTGTAAATAAAGGGGAAACAATCATGTAGCCTAAAACATAATGTAAACACCGACAGTTTAACACTTTTATTAGTGTTTTTAATACATATTGACTCCCGATAAACAAAAAGGCTCTTGGTGGAGTCTTTGTTTCCAAGCTGTAAGTACCGCAGTGTCAATACGCACTGCACACAGCTACTTTACACAAAGCAAACATTGCAAAGGATTAAAAAATACATGGAGTCAGAAAGTCAGAAAGTCATCCTCCCCATGATATCTTCATGGAGGTTTTAAAGAAGCCGTCGGCTCCTCGGGGGAGAAAAAAAGGGAAGGCGTGTGCCAGGTGTGAGCCTTGATTCACCTTAAACTTTTAACAAAGATACAGTTTGAAGTGGAGTGGAGACGCTCCGGCGCCAGCGGTCATCAGGCGGGTCATGGATCGTCTGACAAATAATGTGAGAGGTACAAACATTGAAAAAAAAAAATACAAATACTAATTTAAAAAAATAAAAAAAATACAAATACTAATTTAAAAAAATTAAAAAATACAAATACATTTACAATAAGAGAAAAAAGAAAAACAAAGCAAGCTCTAGGCTAGGCTCATATATAATACCAGTCTTATTTTACCTAGAAAACATATAGGCCTACATTTTTTTAAAAGTATATTGATATTATACATTTTTTAAAATAATGAATGTATCAACTAGCCTACTAAAGAAAAAAATGCTACACCTATCTTCTGTCTGAATATGTGTGTGTGTGTGTGTGTGTGTGTGTGTGTGTGTGTGTGTGTGTGTGTGTGTTTTTTTTTATCAGGGTACTATTGTTGACAATCAGTAATGACCTGAACTTTGCATGACCCGTGTTGAGCTATTCAGGGCACGACAGGTGCAACATTTTAAAGCCATATTTGTATTAGTGAACCCAATACCAAAACACACAGGCAGACCATCTCCCCACGTTCAAAATATCAGTTTTGCTTAAAGAATACTTATTCAATTGTTAAATTTTAATTTATAGCTTAAGAGCAGTTCCACTATTTTGAGTGCTGGTAGGTCAATAGAGGATTCTCTGTGCCTTAATCCAATGACAAACAAAACACAGGTACAGCAACAATGTCTTTAAAACAACAATACATTGTAACTAAAATAAAAAATATGAGCTCAAAAGCAAATAAATAAACGTGATATTAAGCAACAATAACACATTACATTTAAAAAAATATCATAAAAACAATAAAATAAAGAGATAAAAGATAAAAGAACTAATAGCATAAGGATAGTTTTTTTTTAATTAAAAAATCTAGACGAGGTCACGAGCTGGTCAGCGTCATACTCCAGATTATAGACTCCTTCGATGAAAGGAGACCCTCAAAACTGCTACCATTTATTTCACTGCAGGCACCTGCCAAACAATCTGTCTACTGTCTGAGCCAAACAATGTTGCAAAACTCTTTTTTTCAGACATCTATAAATATAAGAAGCCCCAGAGGAAGCAGAAACTGAGTATTTCAAAATATGAAAATGATGGAAAAACAAATCCGGAGCTCGTTCTCTTCTAACCGGGACTGTTTCGACATGTGGCACGACTACATGAACCTGGGCAGGCTGCTGGAGAGGCTGTGTGCAAACCAAGAGGAGGGCCCCAGAGGCACCGAGGGGCCACAGACAGACAGAGTAGCACCGTGTCGGCTGGAGGAGTGCACGAGCCCGACAGGTACTGGCTCAGTCAGCAGCCTGTCGGACACGAGCTGCGGCGGCGGGACTTCCTCCACGGATTACTGCCGCTTCTGCAAGCAGAACGGAGAGACTGTACGCGTTTACCGCTCCCACAGACTGAAGGCGGAGGATGGCAAAGTCAGCTGCCCCATCCTCCGGAGCTACACGTGCCCAGTTTGTGAGGCAACCGGGGACCACGCGCACACGCGCCGCTACTGCCCGCGCGCGCAGGGGAAAGAGGCGCTGCGGATCAGAGAGTTCCGGTTCTGGTAACCAACTCAGAGACTGAGGACGAGTCTGTATATAATTACCATGTGTTCATGTTTACACAGACTTTGTTTTCTGGGTTCTCGAAGTGTACACACATGTACTGTTATAAGATAAATGTTGTGCGTTGTGTTTGCGTTAAAATGATGTAGGTTACAAAGGTGTCGAGATTCTGCTGCAGATTTGATTAACCTAGTTTTGATCCCCATATCTCATGCGTTAAAAAAACACAAATGTCCCCAAAAAAAACTGTTAAAACATTTTTTTTTTTTTAAACTGGCTTCTGTTATATGCTGTAACTATCAACAATAAATATGGGGAAAGTTAAAGATGTTGTAGTTTTTTGTTTTGAGAAACATACAGGAAACGGAGTCTTTTTTACCTAATAGATTCTTTGGAGAATTTTTTCCAAACAAGTTAGGGCACTGTGTTAAATTATTAAAATAATGTGATGCTGTACAAAACATTGAAACCCAAACATGCCTTAAAGGTGCTTTTTGGCATCAAATTAAAAAATGCAAAATAATTTAAAAAAAAATCCATGACATTTCTCAGTTTTAACATTAGATATTTGCACTTATTCAATTATATATGGAGTTTCAGTGTTTTACAAATCATCTGTTTTCATTGACATTTTACAAAGCTTGCCAACTGCCTTGTAAACAGGGCTGTAGATGGGCAATTTTAAATCTATAACATTAGTGCAATACTTTATCATATAAAATGTACAATCCTAATTCTTACAATGTGTTAGCTGCAAAGCAATAAGTGATGGAATGCTAACATTTGAAAAACATCATATTTTGCAAAACTACAGCACTATAAGTCAATTTACTAATGAAAATACACAGACAAAGGTATAACTGCTTCACTACACAAAATAAACAAGAATGGTGACATGGGAATCAGCTGGACTGACGTGTCAGCATTTCACAACTCATTATATCACGATTATAGAAGATCAATCCTGCATGCCTCCTGAGTTACAAAAGCATTGAACAAGGTGACAAACTGCTGTTACCAAACATCATTGAACAACAACTACACTGAGAACAGGTTACTCTTATGTCATGGGAGAATTACAATGTCTAATATTTACAGAGTGAGATATTCTTAGAAACTACCTAAACTTACCTAACCAGAAGTAAAATAGGGTAAATAGAGTGATTCTGATTTAAATACTCACGCAACGTCAAATAAAGTATAATAAGGATCTCTAATGGATAAATATAATCAGTGACTTTCCATTATTGAGGATATAAAAACAAATATCTGATAGTTCAACTTTGGTCAGGCAAATGCAGAATTAACGGTTGGTCTTTAATGTAATATGGCAACCATGACGACCAGGTTTGTTCATTATATAATTAACCAATGGCACTTGATGGCTCTTTGTAAACTTAACATGGATTGAAGCAGGAGCTTAGTTTACATCTCTACTCCATAGGTCAGACAATTGACACAACATTCAAACCCAAAAGATATTCAGAAGCCTTTGACACGCTTTGATCTGGGATTCATATTCAATTCTAGGATTGTCTGGTCTACAAAAGGGTGTTTCAGTCTGGCTAAGTAAAACATGGGACCTGTTCTCAGGTTTGATGATAATCATTCAAATCCATTGTTCAGGGTGTGGTTAGGGTCGGAGACAATGCTGTTAGCAAGCCTTAACGTTCTTTTATAGTAGGATGATTCATGGAGTCTCTGAAGTGGTTGGCCTACAATCTTTAAGCAGATTTTTAATTGGTGGAACAGTTTAGACTTTAAAGTAATAGACAGACACATGTACCATGTATTGTTACAGTGCTGCATGACACTGAGAATCACAGAAGTCAAAAACAAGCTCCACCAGCGGGGGAAATAAATCCTTTGTTTTGTCTTTTTGCAGATATATTCACTGTGCTCTTTTTCAGGACAACAGATGATTGATCATTACACCCAAGTTCTTTTTCATTATGCATAACAATATAGAGCCTTTGTGAGCATCAGATGGTAAACCAAACAGATTCCCCTCTGTTTTCTTTGTAGAAGTGTGTATTTTCATCACACACTTTACTCTTCCATTATAAAATCAATAGAAGTGAGCCTTTATTATTTAACTCAGGTACGTCATTTGAGGTTGCAATAGATTATTTCATAAAAGAAAACAGCAAAGGTCATATCTGTCGGTTACAAAAACTGATGTGATCGGATGATAAAAATGTGTTACCAAACGCGCCTGCAAAGTCCATCTGTTATGAATGTTTACAATTAAACAACCCACTTATAAAGCAGATGATTATTAACCTATAGTATAACCTATCGGAAAGGTCTGCACACTATGATGACAAACAAGTATGCACACGTGAGTGATAAAAACGGTGTTACACAAGCAGTTCTACTGGAGGCAATAAAAGCCTCTCCTTGACTCTGGGCTGGTTTACTCTTTCACTGCTCCTGTCCTGTTTCACACACAACACACGGTAGGCCATGTCAAATGCTTCCTTGTTTATGCTTAAAATGGTGCCAATTATTAAATATGTTAAAAACTGCTAATCAAACCTGCTAATATTTTACATTGGTTTATATTTTACAATACTTTTGTACTATTTAGGTAACTTTTCCACAATGGCAAAACACAAAATTAGCCTTGTGGTTGCCCTTGTGCTGGCACTTCTTTTCTTCATCGTCACCATGGTGTTCTCTGGTCTGGCAGCATCTGGAAAAAGTTAGTTCTGATGTTCTATTGATGTGTTCTGTAAGATTTAATGTTTGAACTTTAAGCTGTAGGAATACTATCCGATTGGCAAGTTTATCAAGTTAACTTTTATTATAATGTTGCTAACTTCATCCATGTGATTTTTTTTCCCATTTGTGTCACTCAGCTCCGTTTTTGAACCCAACGGCTAATGTTTCAGACAAATTCATGACCATGATCACACCATCAGGATGGACCTTTGTCATATGGGGGATCATCTACACCTTCCTGGCTTTGGTGTTGGTCTATGCCATCTCTGGCATCTTTAGAAAGTGAGTCACTCTTTCTGTTACAATTAAAATGTGAACTCATAAATGATGCTTATTTTAGACGGTACTGGTTTGCTGAGGTTAACCATCCACTATCTCTCTTTAGGAACGCCTATGGCTACGTGTACTGCAGCCCTGCAGTTTTGCCGCATGGATTTTTCCTGGCCTGGTGCTGCAATCTCACCTTCAACATCACATGGTTGTTCCTGTGGGACAGAACGTAAGACAGAACTATTTCTCTACCATCTCAATCAACGACAACTAGTGTGAAGTTATTTTGATAGTATTGGCTTAATCTGACAAATTAATCTAATGATTGGTGTGAATCTAAGTGGACATGTTGTGTGACCAAATCGATCAATATTTGGAGAATGCTGTTTATTTTAGAAATACAGACACTTTAAAATAAACGTGTGACTGTTCAGAGATGTGTCACCATTTCTGCTGGTCACACCTACCCATTCACACCCATGAAAGAGGTTTCTATGTAAAGTGACCATCAAAAGAAACTAATCTCATTCATACACATTCACACACCAACGACAAATAAGCAGAAGCGGCTTGCCCAAGGACACATCGGACATGTAGCTGCCAGGAGCTGGGGCTTGAACCCTCGACATTTCAATTAGGAGATGACCGACTCTACCAACTGAGCCCCAGCGGCACCTTGAATTGTATTTTATAGGAGTGGCTGAATGAAGACTGAATGTATCATATTTTCTGCAAGACTGGACATATATGTGATTAGAATTGTTTTCTTTAAAGGATAATGCCTGCTGCTCTGGTTCTCCTCATCCTCGTTGCGTTGAGTAACTACGCCATGATTCTCTTCTCGTGCCACGGCCTCCAAAGCTACGGAGCCTGGCTCAGCAAATATCACAAAGTAGACCTGTGGCTCCATCGTGTGTTGGTCAGTATCACAGCTCAAATTTATGTTCACCTACAACATCGTCAGCTGCCCCATCCTCCTTCTCGTTTTTAAAGACATTCTGCATGTATGAAATCATCTTAACCATTTGTGCCGTCTGTCATGCAGGTCCAGAATGGCATTGCCATATATGCAACATGGACAACAGTTGCTTCCCACATTAACCTGACCATTGTGTTGGTGGATAGTGCAAACATGTCCCAATCGGATGCAGCAGTTCTTGCACTCTCTGTTTTGACTGTGTTGCTCTTGGTGTGGTACGTGCATATTAGAGGGAAACAAATGTACAACATCTGTTTAAAGAAGTTCATAAAATAAGATTATTTCACACAGATTATGTGTGATCTCTTACAGGTTTATCCTGGAAAACTCTGTCCTGGACAAACATGTGAGGTATATTCTCTCCATTTACCCGTCTATGATCTGGGCTCTGACGGGGGTGTTTGACCAAAACTATGTGGCTGCTTTTCCTTCTCGCACTAACAAATTCATTGGTGAGAAACTACGAAGAAACGATTCCATTTACATCACAATCATCAAACAGTTATACCTAAATACAGGACAGATGCACACTAACACTTCTTTTTGATATTTTGTCTCCTCTGAAGTTTCCCTTTTGGCCATCGCCTGTGTCCTGTTTGCTGCTCGCCTTGTTTTGGTGATCTGGAGGCACATCAAAAGACCATTTTATAAAGACGTCGACCCTGATGACATGTCACCGATGGAAATCGCTGATAGGCATAAAAACGTCTTTCAGTAAAAAAGCTGAACAGTTATTTCTTATATATTATTTCTTTGAGATGTATTTCTTATGCTTTGTAAATATTTATGCGTTTTCCTTTGGTGAACCTACAAATGTGATAAAAGATAGGATGTTGCAGAAGTCCAATCTTATTTTCACCTTAAAAGAATAATGCGAAGATGTCGCTGTCTTTTTTGTACTTTTTAAATAAATGTTTATTTTTTGTGAAATCATTTTTGTGGAATCATTTAAGAAAGATAACACATAAAAAACAACAAAACAAATCAAAAGTACAATCATGTCCTTGGTGAGTCACTTGTGATGCATGGTGTAAATTACATGATAAAGAAAGCCTAATATAAATGTATTATAATTAAGACATGTGCATTGCATTAGTATAAACACCCCTCAAACTTTTCCACATGTTGTCATGTTGCCACAGCAAAATTAAAAAAATATATAGTATGAGATATTGTAAAGCATTTTATGGACCAAAACAAAATATTTCAGAATTTTGAATTGGGTCATTTGTTGGGTTCTCAATTACTTCTCAATGAGATGAATATACATAAACAAAATATATGAATGAAAGAAAGTCTTGAGATGACCTCATTCCAAAAACTCCTCAATGCCACAATACACTGACCAATGTTCCTGCTACAACACAGCCATGCCAGCACTAATGTGGGGAATTATCCATTTTCTTTCATCTGCTTGGCTTGATGTACTGTAAGTCCTATGTATAATTTTAGTTTGAAGAGTTGTATATCTTACACATTTAGATAAAGCTGGTGTGGTGTTTTAAAACAGTCTCCCACTGTGCAGTGGTCAGGGATATGCCCGAGTCCCTCTCCCTCCTCTATAGGTTCAACTCAGGGTTTAGTTCTGGACCTTGACCAACAATCAAACATCGTAAAGAAACAAAGACACCAGCAATAGCACATACTGTTTGTTTATTGTGAATAACAAATATATCTGTTATATATTTTTTTTAGCTACAAAGCTCAGATATATTCATCAAGTGGCCACATTTAAGGCCTTTCATATATATTATATATATATGATATATATACATTTTTATACCTGTTCAAAATATAAAACTACGTTTATCTAATGTTGACCTGTATGGATGCCTTTCATTCATTCCTTGAAATCAGTCATAGTTTCTTTTATGATTCACTTCACCATATAGACCTGTTTACAAGATAAGCTTGGCACGTGACGCTTGGAGTGGTCATAAAACCTTCTTGTTATACAACTGGCTTTTGTATAAAGTAGGAAGTCCCCTGTTCTGTTCACAATTACTCTGGTTTCCCACACCGGTGTCTGCAGAGAGAGGTATGTGTGTTTTTATTTTATTGGTACTTTATCATATGGGAACTGTTTTTTTTAATTTGCTGCAACCGTTTTATAACCCTGGAGGACACTCAGAGTGCCGTAGTGGCACATGAACATCCCTGAGGTTACTCAGGCATACTTCAGTCAGTCTCTTCAGTTATGGAAATCAGTAATACTTAATTCTTTGAAACTAAAAATGACACTTTTTAGGCTGTAATGGTGACTACATTCAAAGAAAGGTTTCAAGAGAGTTGGTGATATATGACACAGGTATATGTAAAAAATGTGTAAACAGCCTTTTACATTATTGTTATCACTACCTCAGGGAGGTCAGGTTCAAGTGCAGGTCATCAACATTGAAGGTGTTGAAATGTACTTATTGTATGTCCTACTCTATGCATGTGTGAACCACAAAATCTTCCCCATCTTTGCTTCATTTTAATTTTTTTAAGCAGTAAAACACAATGGAAAAACATGATCCCGGACGTTTTGCTGCTGTAGTGGTGTTTGTTGTCGGCTTTGCAATAAGTTTGGTGTTCAACGGGCTCTCTGTAGTTGGGATCGGTAAGTCAAACTTTTTTGTAAACATACTTTTTAAGGTTGTTGAGGAATCACAAATATTAGTTTGACATTAACATCCATCTCCATTCTGACTTATTATGTGACTTTTTCTTCCTAGGTCCTTATGAAACCACTACAGGCAATGTGTCTGCTGTGTTTGACACACAGATCACACCTTCAGGATGGACTTTCAACATCTGGAGCATCATCTATGTGTGGCTGATGATCATGGTTATCTACATCTTCATTGGACTTTTCAGAAAGTAAGTAAAGAAAGGCTTATTCCAAACATGACAATGTCAATAAAACCTATAAGGTCAAACCTGTTTGGAAACACAAATGCAAATATTAATGATGACTCTGATATCCCTTTTTAAAGTGCTAGACTTGGCCCATACCCTGTGTAATCATCCGCCAAAACTAGCTGGTCTTAGAAAGTGTTCTAAAGAGCGAGACGGACTGAGCTGTGGTTCTTTCTTCTTGCAGGAACGGTTATGGTTACATCTACTGCAGCCCTCCAGTGCTGCCTTACGGTTTCTTCATTAGCTGGTGCATCAATCTGTGTTTCAACATCGGCTGGCTGATTGTTTGGGACAGAGGGTAAGAGTCTCCTGTATCTGTTCATGTCTCACTCCCTGTTCATTTAAGACAAGATAACCTAAGACAAGACAAGACACAAGCCATCACTTAGGGATCCCCCACTAAAGTAAATACCAGTAGTTCAATAGAGTGGTAAAATATGATACAGAAAGTATTGGTTGTAATAAAAGGTTAGAAAAATGACAAAATGAAAAATAATGCCTGATTTTAAAAATATGTTAACATATACAGTTTAGGATCATGATACAGGTTGGTGGTCTACCTGCTGGGCAATGATGCCTGCCACACCTTCGCTGGTGTCTGTGTGTGCAGGTGTGCTCCAGAGAGGCCGCTGCCTCGGGATGCCTCCCTGAACGCCCATCAACAGAGACACATAAAAATACAAGTGTACTAACTTTTTACATATACATAAAAAAAAAAACATGCACCAAATATTCTAATACACAATATAACTTTGAAATTGAAAAATGTTTATAATTAATTCAATACATTTATTTAAAATGAATAGAAATAATCAAATTAAAATGTATGTACAGGCCAGGCCGATTCAACTGGCGGCCCAGGAGCCAACTCCGGCCCGGGGTTTACATCAGACTGGCTCGCAGATCATTTCTATTTTAAAAAAAAACAGACATTTATAAACAGGGGGAAAACTTGTGAATGACTTGTTGTTAAAAACAGCAGAGCACTGCCGTGTAATAGAACATCTTTGGTCCTGTGCTCGCAGCCTATCAAAAGCTTGTGTTGTTGACTTAATGAAAAAGGTTTTTGCGCACTGTACTGCTGTGGTAGGCCTGCTTGTCTGGCCCCCGGGTCCTTAGCTTTCTGAAAATTTGGCCCCCTGAACAATATAGTTGAATAGCCTGGCATAGACTATTTACATGACGTATAAGAAACGGTGCAGTTAATGTCAAAGAGGGAATAATGTATGACAATGATAGCTATTTTGCGTGTTTCTGTCTCACTAAAGGATCATGATTGCTGCATTGGTTTTTCTCATCCTGGTCATCTGCACAAACTACTCCATGATTTGCTTCATCTGCCACGGACTTCATGTTTATGGACCCTGGCTCAAGAAGTACCACAACGCAGACCTGTGGTGCTACCGTATAATTGTTAGTATGACCAATCACAGAACAGTTTATGCTTGACTGACATTACATTCTATGCTTTTAATCTACAGTGTGTCTATTTTCTAGCATATACCATGTGGTTTACAGTGTTTGAAGTACAGAAACTCAATATGAATCTCTATTTGCAGGTCCAGAATGCTGTGATGATATACACAACATGGACAACAATTGCAACGCTGATCAATCTGACCATAGTGCTGACTTATGAAGGTGGGATGTCTCCGACCGATGCTGCCACCATCTCCTACTCTGTTTTGGCTGTTGTGCTGCTTGTGTGGTGCGTTCACTGCCCTTGGAAAATACGTAGCTGACAGTACATACAGAATCATCGGTGAGATTTAGAAATGATGTGTCTGTGTTGTGTGTTTCACAGGTTTGTTTTGGAAAACCTGGTCCTGGATAAACACGTGCGCTACATCCTCATCATCTACCCCGTTGTGATCTGGGCGCTGTGTGGAAACCTAGACAAAAACTATGACGCTGAGTCACCAAGCCGCAATGGCATCTTCATCGGTAGGACTGCATACAACTCCATATCAATTTATGTTCCAAATAAGTTATAATCTCTACCATCAATCAGCTTGAAAACATTTAACCAAAACATCATTATGATTATCTGATACATTACAGGATGTGATGAGTAAAAAGGAGAGTTTTGCCTCACATGTATGAGTAAACTTATTCAGGATGTAACTTCTGTTTACTACATTAATATTTGTGACTTTAATAGTTGATTTTTCTCATTTCAGTTGTGCTGCTGGCTCTAGCCTGTGTGCTGTTTGCCTTTCGGATAGTTCTTGTGATTTGGAGGACCATCAAGCAGCCGCTGTACGAAGACGCCAGTCCTGAAGCCATGCAACCCATGGAGAGGGCTGGGAAACAGAAAAAGATATTGCGCTAATCATTTCATGACGTAACACTCTGATACTTGGAACCTGACACGATAGAAAACAGTGTACAGCTGTTATTGCACCATTACCTCCTACATGTTATATTTGGAAAATCTTGACAAATACTAATGATTAATTTCTGATTGTAAAGTATGATTTAAAGTTCACTTCAGCATATTATTATTTTGTAAATACTTCAACTCTGGATGACTGATCCATGAACCTTGTATGTCTCTTTTGTAATATATTTATTGCTAACACATATCATGAGGATCTGATAAGGAAACTATTACAACACTGCATAGAGGCCCCACAGTGTCATAATCCACCTCACAGTATAGGATGTATGTTGTAAACACTTCCCATAGTTCATTGTATGGTTGCTTTTTATCAATTGACAATTTGTTTTCCAATGTTAAGTGCAATGTACTCACTTATATTATTACATATTTTAAATAAAGTTATAGTTGTACGCTTGAATAACATGAATACAAAGGAACAGCAAAAATAATGTGTACAGCAAAACAAAGTTCAACTGCATTATCGTATTAACAGTTTTAGATGTATGTCTCTTACTCTGTACGCTCTGTATCTTTTAGCTATACCATATGGCCTTTTGACTTTTACTTTAAATAAATGTGTTTAGCTTCAACAATGAAAAATCTGTAGGCAGCAACAGGATAAGCACTAGCTTAAGCTTAGTCCACTGCAAATAAAGTGTAAAAGAAGAATACAACAAGGGTATAAAAGTTCCTTCAGAAGTATGTGCTTATTGTAATACAAAAGAAAATGCATGAAATCAACGTATTGTGCTAACATTGCTGTAAGAATAAGGTTACAACAAAAGGTTTGAAATTGGAGAAATTGGAGGGGTTACTGGAATTATTTAGTACTGATTTATTTAAATTTTCTATGTATGTAGGCTATATATTTGTACATAATAGACCTAGGTAGGACAAAAATATATATATTTTTTAAAAATGTTTAATATTTTTATTGTTTACTTAATTATTTTGTCTATCTCTTCTTTTTATTAGTTTATTTCTATATTAATCTGGTCGGAATTGTATAATTGAAGCCATTCGAAATACTCCGGTACAGTAGGTGGTGGTATGCACCTTTAAATTTGGGATTACAACCGCTAAAAAAAAAACACAAAGAAGAATGAGAACGCAAGCGTTGATACCCCGAGTTAATCTTCAAGGCAGCTAATCCTGTGACACTTTAAATCCAATGTCCACTAACAACAAGCACAAATAGTCGGATTGTTTGCGTTTCTGTTAAAACGGCTTTCATATTACAGTTGTGTACGATAGTATTAATGCATGTAATGTACGTACGCATCCGCCACTATGCGACAGTGTTTCCTGCAAGACTCACCTGAGGGTTTAAATCACCGTGGCGACGACAAAGTGCGCGGGATTTTACAAATTGTAAACAGCGCCATTGTTTTGCTAACGCTAACGTTTGCTGTCAGGTTTGCGAAAGAGCAGTCTTTGAAGCGTATTTACGATTATAATATAGTTCCTTACTTGATGTTCATAGAGGAAGCCGATTGAGAAAAGGTAATCAAACGAAATGGTAGCTATGTTACTGTTAAACTAACGTAAAGTTGACGCTTAAAAACAGTTTCCCGACTGATATAAATGGAGACGAAGTACCCAACCCTGGTAAGTAAACCCCTTTATTCTGTGTTTGTATCTTTAGCCTAAAGCGAGCGAGTAAAGGAAACAAGTTAACCCCGAAGAGATCATCGTAATGGTTAACGTAGTTTGGATTTAAGGGTCAAAAGACTAGAGTCTGTTAATATACACATTATATACAACACAGAGTTACAAAACAACACCAAGCTCAGAAACATCAACAGAACATCTCCAACAGAATCAACAAAGTACAAACAGAAGAGAAACAAATGTCAGACTTGAATCACATATCGACATGTACACACACAGCATAGTCTTAATGACCTTTTATTGCTTTCTCTAGCCGTCCTGTTTTTAGAAATGTATTAAAATAAAAAGGATTAATAGGATAGGATAATACTTTATTGATCCTCAGAGGGGAAATTCGGGCGTTGCAGCAGCACAGACAAGAAAGCTCAAAAATACACATTAAACAGAATAGATAAGATGAATAAAAAAATAATAATAATAATAAAAATAAATTTTAAAATTAAAATAATTAAAATTAGAATAAATAAAAATAAAAACAGGGGGTATATACAGTACAAAATGAATGATGAAGTTAACTGGGGGGAATTGAGACAGTATTTGCAGAGAATGACAAGATAAAGTGGCAAGTGATGATTAAAGTGACTTTGGGTGATAAATAGCAGCAGTGCAGTTATGTAATATAATGTAGTATAATATAGTGTAATATAATGAAATGTTATATAATAATAATTATTATATAATTGTATATTAATAATTATTAATACTAATATAATAATATAATTATTATATATTATATTACTGAATAATACAAATATATAGAATGTACAGTATATATATATATATATGATGCGAAATAATAATAAATGTTAGTAAAAAAAAAAAAAAACTTCACACCTTGGAATATTTAGCTTTCGTCTAAATGCACCTTATGTCATACTCAACTTTCTGCTTCACTAACAGAGTAAGTGTTTGATTATGGCTGGTTTCCTTCTTGAAGATACTGTTTTAGCACAGTTTTAAACAGCTTTTTACTTTCTTGAGGAGTAATACGCACTGGCAAATAGTTCACCTGACCATGGCTCTGTAGAGGACTGTGATATACCTGTTTTCATTTTTGGAAGTGTAAAGTGTAATGCGTAGAATTGAGGGTGTTTCTGAAATCCTTACCATGTTTTGTATATTATAGCCTACTAACATACCGTTATTTTGCTTCATCACCCGGTAAACTATTCAGGTGTTGTTGTTATCTGATACTAACCCTTTTTGCAAAGCAACAGAATTACAGTAGATTTAACTGTGTTCACAGAAGAGACCAAAGAGGAAGCTCTGCTACCTTAATAACTCAAACAGGTATTTATGAAAACTGTACTTTAATTCTTGTGTCTTAAGTGTTAATCATGTGTCTGTTGAGTTAGCAAAAAAACTACAGCAATTAAATGTGGATATATCTGAAGTTGTTTCATGTAAAACATACTTTAATAATTCTTAAATAACACTTAAAAGTATTTGCTTTTATGCCGAGATAACCCCATCGTGTGTCACATTTCATTCAACTGTAAAAAAAGACTGATGTAATAAACTCAATTCTAGTGGGCCTAATCCTCCTTTGTCTTTGTATCGAGCCATTTTTGCTGCTACACATCTACTCTGACATTGGTTCTTCTGGGAGTTTTAAGAGGATATTGTTAATGCAGACTTAATGGTATTGTTTGTCATAAAGTTGTCAGGGCGAATTCTAATGTTTTATACCTTCCGATATCATTATCACCTCACCTTTTGTCTTTTCAGTCCATCTAAAAAGTGGACAAGAACACTGACTCCCACTTTGGGAGCCATCGATAAAATATTTGATGACCTAGGTGAGTTTGCTTTTGTCCTAATTTTTTTTCGGTCATATTTCTCTGCTTTTTTATTTATTTTTGTGACCTTTGTTTACTTTTTCCTTCTTAGATTCATCCTCAATTGATGATGTTGACATAGTCCCGCCGTCTCCTCTGCGCCAGACCTCAGATAATGAGACTAACCAGAGTGAGAAAGAGGTGTCACCAGTCCCACAGGAAGGACAAATACTGAAAAAACCTCCTGGAAGCCATATGGTAATGTACAGTCAGACTTCAGCTAATATTACAAATAAGTAGTCCTACCTTATTAAAGCAATACATTTATTCTGGCAGCCAAATATTAAATGGTTTATTGTGTAGCAGAGATTAGTTTTGTTTGAGCTGATCTTATATCCTCACTTGGGAAAGAACTGATGAGTCTTCTATTAAAAATGTTTGTTGTGTAACCTACAGGGTCCTAAAGGAGACATCCTGGGTCCTGCAACAAGGTCGCCCAGTCCTAATCTAGACATCGGTAAGAGACTCAAATCTGTATTTTTTTGAAGAAGTACTTTGCCATTCTATGCTGCCTCACATGAGATGTACTGTCTGTTTGCACCTTCTTATGTTGTGTATTATAGTTTATCTTGTTAAAGAGCGTCGCATGTCCCTGTTGCAGATTTGGACTTCCAATTTAAAATGCATGGGCCAGTGAAGACATCCAGTCCTATTGAAGAAAACATGGCTGTGGAACGTGTAGCAGAATTGGACAAGGAAAAAGACAGAGTTGTGTCCCCGATTCTCTTTGCCTGTGAAGATGAGGAAGAAGAGGAGGCGGAGGCGGAGCATCTATACAGCCAGAAACCGCAATGCGAGAGCACATCACAAAAGAGTTCGTAAAAATAAATGTCTTCGAATGTAAAAAGGTTTAGTTTAGATGTTTTCGTACTAAGATACTTTAGTCTTTTTAGACATTCAGAGCTTGTATTTATGAACTGATTTCTGTATAACATGTTTTTTTATTATCATTTTCTGTAGGAGTGATGACTTTGGTCTGGAGTCTCCTCCGAATAGGGTTGCTTTAAGCAAACCAAAGGTGTCCTGCCACAAAAAAGAGTTGGAGAGTCTGGGGTAAGGGGATGTTCTCATTCTTAATGAGATGGTTATTTGATACGAGCATCCAAACACTCAAACAAAAGCAACTATTTCAGTGTAGCGGAACCATTTAGTGTTTGAAGCCTGACATTAATTTGATACATACTCTTGGGTGTTTCCCTTTTCAGATTAAATTTATGTACATATGTTTCTTTACCCCCCCCCCCCCCCCCCCCCCCGGCAGAAAAGAGGGTCATCCTGTCAAAGGAAACTCATCCAGTAAAACTCAAACAGATGTTTCAGAAGGTAAACCAGAAAGGTAAGAATTGATTACATTTTAATGTTAAGTTAGAAAAGCGTTCATGTCAGATCTCTCTTTAAATCAAAATACTTAAAAAGTGGAACCGATAGTGACGTCTCGATTCTGATGAACTTTATGTTCACATCATTCTTGTCTGAATGTTAAGCTTGAGTTAAGTTTGAGTTTGTTTAGAAAGATTGTACTGTGTTAGAATTGTTAACGTCGTAAGAGACTTTGCATTTAAGTGAAATAAATGAATTGAGAAGCGTTCAAATCACATTGTCCTCATAGTTTCTTTTTACTCTTTCTGATTAATTCAAGGCAAGAAAAGACCGAAGCGTCTGTGTCTAAAGTGAGACAGGATCCTAAACTGGCAGCTCCAAACAAAAAGTCAGAAAGTGTTCGCAATCAGCCTTCAGTTGAGGTTTCAACTCGTGTCGGAAAAAACATGACGACTTTCGTACAGAAGCTTAAAGAAGCTGGACTTTCCAAACCTGCATGGTGAGTGAGCAATACGAGTACACCTTAATAAACATTATTTGTTGGTTGGGTTAAAAATAACTTCAACATAAAAAGTTCAAATGATGAACAATCTTTTTGATGTTTAGTTCCAGAAAGTCTCTGTCACCTGTAAAAGTACCCACTCCTCCTCCTGAGCCAGAGGAGGATTTCCTGCTTCTGGAGGATGAAACCCCTCTTTGGATTTCCATTCCAACAAAAAGTGCCACCGGTAAGAAACAGAGACCGAGCAGAACGTCCAGCACCGACAACGACAGCTCAAAAGACAAGGGGACGAAGGAGAGCCCGCCAGAGAGGACACAAGAACAACAGGAGTCTAATCAGACAAACAGAAAAGTGGGACACCAGACTGTCAGTCAAGAAATGAAGAAGATGAAAGAGAAGAAGAAGGAGTCAGCCAAGCAGAGAACTGATACGACTGAATCAACCAGCCCGGAGGATCTTCCTGTGGTTGAATTATTGGAACAAGAGAAACCAAACAAGAAGAAACAACGACTCAAGAAGCTTCCTCCTAAAGAAAGTGACAAAGCAGAGGAGCAGCCTGAAGACACGGCTGAGAGGGAGAGAGAGGGAGGAGAGCCAACCCCGAAAAGACTTCACAATCAGCCGTCAGTCGAGGTTTCCACTCATGTCAGAAAAGACATGTCTGCTTTCCTACTGAAGCTTAGAGAAGCTGGACTTTCCAAACCTGCATGGTGAGTGAGCAATACGAGTACACCTTTATGTTAAAGGCAGGGTTGGTAATTTTCTCCAGATACACTTTTTAAGATTTTGGTCGAAATGTTCTTTAGGTCCTGACAGACATTAATAATTAATGTGCTCTGAAAAAGGAATGAAGAAAATCAGTCATTTGTATCATTTGTAAGCCTGTAAAAACTTTGACCAATGTCTGCCACGAGGTACCAATCTGATGAACCAATCACACCTCCCTGTCTCTGTGCTCGTTCTCTACCTTCTTGCATGCACTCAAAGCATGAGCTGAGGTCCGCTTCCTGACCAATGGCGCTTGTGCGTTTAAGTGAGGGGTGTGGCTTTTGAGGGAGCACAGAGGAGAGGGGGTGGGTGCAGACGGAGCACTGAGGGAATGCTACTTTCAAACTCCTGCTAGTTTTCATAAATTACCAACCTTGCCTTTAATTATTTGTTGTTTAGGTTCAAAATAACTTCAACATAAAAAGTTCAAATGATGAACAATCTTTTTGATGTTTAGTTCCAGAAAGTCTCTGTCACCTGTAAAAGTACCCACTCCTCCTCCTGAGCCAGAGGAGGATTTCCTGATTCTGGAGGATGAAACCCCTCTTTGGATTTCCATTCCAACAAAAAGTGCCACCGGTAAGAAACAGAGACCGAGCAGAACATCCAGCACCGACAAAGACAGCTCAAAAGACAAGGGGACGAAGGAGAGCCCGCCAGAGAAGACACAAGAACAACAGGAGTCTAATCAGACAAACAGAAAAGTGGGACACCAGACTGTCAGTCAGGAAATGAAGAAGATGAAAGTGAAAGAGAAGAAGAAGGAGTCAGCCAAGCAGAGAACTGATACGACTGAATCAACCAGCCCGCAGGATCTTCCTGTGGTTGAATTATTGGAACAAGAGAAACCAAACAAGAAGAAACAACGACTCAAGAAGCTTCCTCCTAAAGAGAGTGACAAAGCAGAGGAGCAGCCTGAAGACACGGCTGAGAGGGAGAGAGAGGGAGGAGAGCCAACCCTGAAAACAAAAGACAAAGCCCAGAAGGCCACTGAAAGAAAGACATCAAAATCTGTAAAAGATGGGAAAGAAAATGCCAAGACAGGCACGGCTAAGTCGTCAAAGGGGGGCAGGAAAGTGATGCAAGGGTCTGATGGAAGAAAGGAGGCGGCGTACACTGAGACTGCGAAGGAACCAAGTAAGGAGCACAAAGATCTAGAAGACGAGGGCTCTGCATCAGGTGAGGAACATCTGCTTTAAAAATCCCTTTCCATTATCTCACAATGATTTGACCACATTTGTAAAAACATCAATGTTTCTTTAAATACGACTCTCTGGGAACATGAAGTGTTCATTTTGTTTTTTTAATTCAAGATCAGTGTTGAACGTTCTATGAATCTTGCACATCTTCACAGAATTAGATGTTATTTGTTCCAACAGAAAGAGAAACCTCAAAGTCTAAAGCACAAACAGCAAAGGATTTCTCCGACGGAAAAGATGAACAGAAACAAACGCCGCCCGTGTCTGACGGAACTCCACCTGAAGACGACCACATTATTGGGAAAAGGAAAAGGAAGCAGCCCGGACTGTGGTGGCTAAGCTCCCCAGAAGAAACAGAAGCTGCAGACCACTGGCCTACGGTGAAGAAGCAGTCAAAGCAGAACAACAAGGAGCCTATCACAGCAACACGTTCTCCGGTAAAGGCTAAGAAAGAAAAGGCTCTAAAGAAGAGGATTCAGGCAGAGTGTGCAACGTCGTCCTGTCAGGATAAAAACAAAGTTAAAGAAAAGAAAAACAGACGGGGCAAAATCAAATCAAATCAGGAAAGAGGAAAGGAAGAAGCAGAGCCGGTGGAAGAGCTGGTGGAAGAGCAGGAGCAGCAGGGTGAAGTCGAGGACCAGAACTTGGATGAAGGGTCTAGTCCTTTGGACTTTTCACACAGAGGCCACAGCCTCAGCACAGGTAAGATCGATGGACTCAGATACCCATCTGAAGAAGAGGCACCACTAAAACTATTGAAAGATTACATAAAAAATAAAATTCCTGCTTTTGAAAACATGTCTCAGTTAAAAGTACAGCTGGACAAATAGAATTTCTTGTTCTGCCTGGAAAATGCTCCTGAGGCTTCTTTATTAAGACTTGTGACAATCCTAGAGTGTATCATCAAGTCTCTACTGTTAATATTATATGTGAGTTATCTTGGCTTAAAAACAAATGTGTTTTAATTATTATTTTTTTTACAGGGGAGGAGGTATTTCATAGAGTATATCATCATATCTCTACTGAAGAACAGTCCATCACCCCAGCGCCTACTACTCCCAGAAGGCAGAGGGAGCAGCTTAGGACAGCAGAATCAGATAAACGGAGGAGGAAATGTCCGGGTAACTGGTGGGCCGTCAACGGCCCGACGGAGGAAGCGGAGAACATCTCGTCAAAGCCACAGCAGGAGCCCAAACCTAAGAAGGAAAGAAAAAAGAAGAGCAAACAGAGCAGGGGCTTTAAACTGGGGACTCCTAAAAATGGTAATGTTGCAGTCTCATCAAAGCCACCAGAGGGAGCTGCTGTTCCTCCTCTGACGGGGAAGCTAATGTCAGCTCCCAAGACTGTCAAACGCTCTCTGGCCACGTTTAAAGACATTTTCGATTCAGCTGCAGAGACCTCGACTGTGGAGAGCAGCAGAGGAGCAGTTCAGAAAAACACGCGTAAAGTCAGAGCTACTGACCTTTCAGTCCCAGATGAAAGCGACAAAGGTATTCTCAATGTAGATTCTGTCGAGGTCAGCCCTCCATACCACGACACCCCACAGGATGACAAGTGTCATTCAGAGGACATGTAAGGAAACAACCCTGAATATTTGCCACCGCTAACATTTTCCTCCGATTTGCCTGTTTCAGTTTTGATTTCTCTTTCTTTCTTTTTTTCGCAGTTCAATCCCCTTCAGAAGTGGACCGCCCTCCATGTTTGAGCTGCAAGAGTACGAGGAGCATGACACCATGAGTATGTTGTAAACAAGCCTCTGTAGATTTATGTCTGCTTCTTTTTTGGAGTTTTAATGTTTCCATTTCCAATTTCTGACACGTTTTTGTCTTTTCATCACAAAAAAACAAAAACCTTTAATATAATGATAGCACACCCGCTCACCATTTGTTCAGGTTTTCACACTGGCCATCCATGATATTATGACAGCACATGTAGTGCTCCTACAATTTGATTTTAAATTGGCAATTACATGGTTTGAAAAAAAGGCTTAATTCTAAAACAAGCGTGCTGTTACTCTTCACTGGACACAGCAGAAGCCTACATATATGGTTAATTGTAAGTAAACATGAGAGAATTGCCAATGTGAGCTCAGTCTGAGTAAATGAAATGAAAAAGGCAAATTTGACAGTTTGTTTCGGTCAGCCAATGATGCAATATTTACACTGAGCCCCCTCATCTGCTGTGTGGGATTAAAAATGCAGCAGCTCTGCCTGGACACAGAGCTCCTGTCACATAGTTAAACAGCAACACCTGAATAGCAAACATTATTATTAGAGCCTTCAATGTGTTTCTGCTTCATATGAAAGAGCAACTTTTTCTGATTGATCCTAGTAATGAAGTGTCGCTTTTTATCTTTACTCTCTTCAAGCTCGGCCATCACCCAGCGTCCTTTCTGCCCTCTCTGCATCCGATCTGTGCGCCCCTCCTCTCAAACCGCTCATCTTGCAGCCGAAGGATAAGGCAAACCTGGCAGAGTGGTTTAAGTGTCTCTGGTCTGCCTCTGTCGATAGTAAGGGAATATAATGTTCAATGTTTACGATCATGAAAGTATGTTTGTCCAGTGAACTTAAAGAAAGATCTTTTAACCCAAATATACATGATTTGGTCATTTGAATCTCTTCTGGAGCTGAGCAGGTTGAATGTTACTGTATGAAGGTTTTTAAAGTTCTTTCACAGATTCTCTGTGACTGAACTATCATTCAAGGACTTTTTCAATTAAAATTCTGATGAACTCACTATTAAAATATAATCAATCAGTAAGTAGGCCAAGGATAATGAGGAAAAAATGAATATAAATGAGCTAATATGCAAATATATATATATATATATATATATATATATATATAAAAAGAAAGTTTTAATAGTACAACTTATTTACCCATGATGCCTCATTCTTTGACACAGCTTAGGACCTTAATTAGCTTTGCTTTAATTTTTATTATAGACAGCATTTGGAATCTAGCTGAATAATGGTCACATGATTCTTATTAATGGGTAAGTAATATACGTGGTGACCTGTCATTAAAGACATTTTTTTTTTTTAAATCCTCTCAGAAGGTCCTGAAGTCAGTCCGGAGCATTTCGACTGGTACTTCTATCAGGGCCGAGCGATCGGCTTCATGGTGGACCTGAACTCTGGAACCATCTGTAGTGGGAAAATCCTGCTGGGCTCCTACATGAAGAAGCCTCTGTGGGTGGATCACAGCGCCACATCAGTCAGTAAACCTCTTCAAAATTCTCATGTGATGTTTTTTTTCTTCTAATCGCGTTGTTCTGTTACTCATTTTTCTCTCACTGTCTTTTCAAAGGTTTTTCACTTATTAACCAGCTCTGTGAGCGTAGCCATTGACGGCAGCGAGTCACGCTTCAATCCAGGACAGTCCTTCATGGTGCCATGTGGTAAGACTAATATCTACATGCATATTTATAGAAAAATTCAAATGTTTAAGAGATCTTTTAGTGATAGTTTTAACTACATTTGATATGTATTCCTATACAGAGGTGTCTTTTATTGACTGCTGTTCCTGCTCTGTTCACACAGGTCATGCTTACTGCATTGAAAACGTCAGTAGGCAGCCTGCAGTTCTGTACTTCACCAGGGTATTAACAGAAAGTTTGGACTAAAGTTGGAACCTTGGGGCTCAATCACCAGCCTCATACTTCTTCAAATCCTCAAACTCCAGAATATGTAAAAAAAAAAAAAGAAAAAAAGACTGGGTATGTGTGACATAATTTAAATTGACCCGTTTCTGTACAAGCACATGAGGTGTAAATAGATCTTTGTTTTTAATAACTTACTTGACCGATATCTTTGATTTCAATGATATATTTTCTGAGAAAATCAAAATAAAATGTCTTAATAAAACGTTGTGCTTTTTATGACTTGAGTTTGATTTGTCCTTTTCTTCTAATGCTGTGTTTGTTGTTTCCAGCCTCTGAGGGGCAGTGTACAGCTTTGGTTTAATATGAATGTCTTATAGAGTGTAGGTGGTCAGAATACGAATTATTGTCCTACCTGTGGTTAATTCTCTTCAGATTTTACAAACCACAATCAAATGCGTTGTTGATAATTAAGTTGAAGAAATGTTCTTAATGATGTGTGTGAGGTCTAAACTTCAAACGGGATTTGCAACATTGTTCAAATATTTCTGAGCATGAAAATGCAACACAGATCAACAAGCAGAGATGTCGACATGAGCTCACAGGACATGGACTATGTGATGGATGAGGTTTGTTCATACAAGTGGATCTTTGACAGAGCTTACAGAAGCGACACATTTCAAAGTTTTATTTGCCGTATTCAAGTTAGTCTTACATCTACTGATAATGTGTAGATCATCAATCAACTTCTGCTTCAAAGGAATATTTACACAGCATACAGAGGTTTAAGTTATCATATCTAACAAGATCAAGTTTTATGGGACACATTTTTATCTGCAAAGAAACTATTAGCTTAAGCTGTGACATAAATAAATGGAATTCCTTCAGAGGTGTCATGACGCTGAGGAACACAGTGAAGGGCAAAGTGAGGATTCTGTTTGCTTTGTCCTTTGGTGCCTCAAAGCCACATCAGTGTCTTTGATTTAAAGACATTTAAGTCGATATCTGTGCCTGATAGTAGAGTGTAAAACAAAGATATCATTGATCCCTGCAAAAGAAAGGACTTCCAACACTCTTTCACCAGTGTTTGGATGCACTACAGGACCATCTTAAGAAAAATAACTCTCAGTCAGATGTGCTGGTTATATCCTATCAGCTCTATCACTTTATAAAACTTATCTACCTCTTGCCTTGTTTTAACTCCACTGATCTTATCTTCAGTGTGAGTACAGGTGTTGAGAAGTAAGACTAAATATGAAGAAGTTGTTCCAGTGGGAGCTGAGTGAAATCTGATGACCGTCTGAAGTTTGTGAAAAAACACAAAATCTGTGGATGGAGTTAAAAAAACAACAACATTTATCTTGTTTCTGCTTCCTGCTTGAAAAAAAACCAAACAAACTTGCCTTCAACAGGCAAACCTGAATCTCAAAAACAACTGTCTTTTCTCACACTGCATTGTGGGTAATGTAGGCACCAAGGTTTTACAGGGACAGTATTGAAGATATGTCGATTTAACATGATTTTATACAATCACTGTCATCCAGTGTATCCAGAGTACCACAAGGTTGTTAAGAGTACTTACTCAGTGATGCAGTCGTAAAGCCTTCAATGCAAAACGCAGCAATGGTGTTGAACAGAATGAACTCCTTGTGGTTGTCTCTGAAAACCAGTGGAGATGCAGTTAATAACGGTATAAGCCCTCAGCGGTACATGCATCCATACATTTTGTTTATCTGTAATCCCATGATAACGGGTCGTTTCTGGTTGTTTAATTTATCCCCAGAGTTGGAAAAGCACAAAAACAAACACATAAGCTTAATCGACCTAATGAACGGGGCAGCAGGGCCTTTCACAGTGACCTTAGGCCTACTGATTTGTTTTCTTGATTACAAAGCATGTGTTGGTGTGATCCCTTTATCACACCAACACATGCTTCTCAAATGAAAGACAACCCAAGACGGGTTCTATCATGGAGAAATAGATTGAATGAAATGTATGGATTCACGTCTGCTTTGGGCTATCGTAAATCAGTGTTTGGATACACAATATTGAAATTATTTGAAGAACGCGTAACACCAGTCACAAAACAATGGCGTAAGAAGCATGACATTGGAAAGGTTGCACCACAATCCTTTACAGCACGGACCTTGTCCACTAAATATCTTATCAGTTCATACTCACGTCCAAGTGGATGCTTGTGCTTTGAAGATATTCCCTTCAGGTTTCCCTCTGATACGATGTTCACAAATGTGGTACAGACATACACACAACCTGAAAGCAAAATGCCATCAGCCACAGCAGCCGTGTGTGTGTGTGTGTGTGTGTGTGTGTGCGTGTGTGTGTGTGTATGTGTTTGTGTGTGTATGGGAGCATCAAAATCTCTCTCCTCTGTTGCAGGCGACATGAGGAGAACGTTTCAGATAAGTTGTCACATGTTAAATAAAAAAAAGCCCCAGTTTGTGCAAACATGATCTAAAAGTGAGGGTACCTGTGAAGTTGAAAAAAATAAAGCAGATTGGGCGAAACTTCTCTCTAAAGTCTGTTCTAACCACCTGGATGAAAAACTATGTCTTCAGCTTGGTGATCAAAAACAAAGATGGATGCCAACCAGCACCCTACCCTATAAAATATAAACCCTGGAACATGGGAAAAAACTGTTAAAATGTGTTGACTACAAGTGTCTTTCAACCAGATTGCTGCCGGTGATTCTGAAGTCAGGCTGTGGTGTGTTATAGCAACATTCTTGGGTTTTGAGATCACAATGAAGTCATATTTATTTAACAGAAAAAAATGATATGCTGATGCATGTTAGGCAACTTGTAAATATATGATTGTGGTCGAGGTATCCCTTTGTATTGTTTAGTTATCTAGTTATCTACATTTTATACAAATGCAAATGTCGGCGGCTGTGGCTCTGTTGGTAGAGTTGTTGCCTCTCAACTGGAAGGTTGAAGGTTTGATCCGCAGCTGAGCAACATGTCTTCGGGCAAGATACTTAACCCCGCATTGCTCCCGCTGCTTTGGTGGCCGTGTATGAATGGATTAGTGTTGTACTTACTCTCTGATGTACGTTGCTTTGGATAAAAGCGTCTGCTAGGTGAATTGTAACAAATGTTAACCTTTAGTTAACGGCAGCTTTGACAGTTTGATTTTGAGAAACGGTACCTTTGCTCACACGCAGGCACAAAAACAACTCAACACACATACACTGATCTGTCATGAAACATTAACTTCATCAAGACCCCAATTTTGTTGTTATTCCTTTTCCCTTTCCATATACTATGAAAGAGATAATGATACACTGTTCCCTCAACAAGAGTGCTGGGATTGCTCCATGATATTTAAATAAGCTACAAAGTGATTTTGTTGCTTCTTCATGAAGTAAGAGCAATCTTCTTTTTTTTTTTTTTTTTCCAAATAAGAGCTTCAACAGCCTGCCATCTGATAAATGATCACCCCTAAATGTCAAGTTTTATCCGTCTGAGTAGTCTGACTGGCCTTCCAGCACGACCGCAGTCAAGTGGAAGCTACTTTGACCACCTGAGTGTACACTAGACTGACCTTCCAGGGTCTTGAATTGAGATATATGATTATAGTTCAAGAGTTTTTTACTTCACTTCAAAGAGCATTGTTGGTACGTCACCATTGGATCAGTCTGAATATTGGTTTGCCCGTCTAAACTTGTGATGAAGTTGATAATAAAGCGAGATAAACTCAACTGTTTTTTGGGGAGAATTCATTTGTTGTAGCAGATCAAGAGGGAAAGTCGGCGGTAAAAATCACATAATCAGCAAAAAAGGGAAAATTGGGATGTTCATTTTGTGGTTGCTGCGTTAACATGAGGTGACGTGCAAACGCAGAATCTCATTCTGAATATTGTTTTAGTGGTGAGACAGCCACTGAATAATGTAATACTGAGAGTCTGCCTCTTAAGTTTAAAATCAGCCCTCACCAAGAAAAATGCTATTTCTGACTCACACTGCTATCCCTTAATGTGTCTCATAGTTTAACTGGATACAGTGAAGACTCTTTCAAACATAAACGTTAAGGGTTTGAGCTGCAGCTATGTAATTACAGAAATTAATTTGTGATAATGATTACGTTTTTGTGATAATCTGGAGAGATCATTTTAGCGAAACAATGTTTTTCTTTTGCCAAATAGAGATTATATGGTGTCATTTGTCGAAACTGAAATGTGCATATTTCTTGACCACAATTCTTCTCAGGCATTAAAAGCAGATGTAAGCCCCTTAAACTCAGAAAGTGTTCACACCTCTGAATAATAAATGTGACCTGCAGCATTGTGAGCCTTTAGATGCATGAAGAAACAACGTCATCCCAAAACCTGTTGGCCGGTGAACAGAATCAATAATCAGCGCGTATATTTATTACACTTCACTTCTCTGAGCTTTGCACGCCATGAATTCATTTGTCCACACAAAGTCTATACAGGGTTTCTGCCATCAGTCTAGGTCTTGGAACAGAGCTCTAGCATTCAGTATGATTTCCTTCCTTTGTTTAAGTTGGCGCTGCACATTAGTTTGGGTCCGCATCTGAGCCAAAAGGCCACAGGAGTTAATAAACTCTTTACAGGGTTAGCAAACTAGGAATTATGCAAGGATATTTTACATGTTATTTTTATTTGTTTATTTCAACATTCATGTCAAACACAGAGGCACAATCTAAAGCAAAGGTGTTTTAATAGCAATTTCTTTAAGATGTTTGTGCATCTTTTGCACAAATCTGCACCCTGTGTTACTCAACAAAGCACAAGAAGAGTTTCACACTCATCTCTAAACCCATCTGTCCCTCTACTCTACATGTGTTGTTTTTCAGCTAACCGAAGAGGTCGACACATGCTGCAAAGAGACAACAAGAGTCAGATTACTTCCCTGCACCATAGCTGTAACTGCTGGTTATTAAAGAGTCCAAGTTCGACATTGATGTCGACATTGATGTTTGTCCTTCACATACTGAAGAGTGTCATAAAACTCAGGGAAAACATGCAGAATGTAAACATGACAATTTTAAGCCTTGAGCTTAAATAAGAACATATAAACAAACTCTCTGTCTCTTTTATGTTTTAAAATAAAGTAAATCAGCTCTTTATTAAGGTAACTTAATCCATCATGTTCAGAGCAGCAGAATGATGGCAGAAGGGACTGTAAGTTTCACCCCCCTTTTCTCTCTGGCTGTGTTGGAAACCTCATACTGTCATACTATTCCTAATAAAAGGGCTTTCAAACTTTCATTAAAAGAACACTGAAAACGTCCTTGAAATTTTCAA